ACATAATTTTCGTATTTCAGTTTCTGCCACTTAAATAGTTTATTTATTCAAATTATGTAAATGTTTTAGCTTAACTAACTATCCATGGTTATTTCATGTTCCCTATACTCTTGGCATAATATTTCTCACTCTGTTGTGTGCTTGTAACTGTTACCCTTTCAAGTGATGAAATGTAAGGAAGACCCGTAACCCCATATAGTGAAACTCGCACAAGAATTTGATGCTGATCCGTTATTTTGTTTTTCTTTTATTTTCTTCCTTTTGTTTTGTTTTACTGATAATCGGTCACTGAATAATAAAATAATAAATGTCCTACAGATGTACCTAAATATTTTGTTTAATTATTTTTATTTGCATTTTGCCTTCGCCTGCACCGTTTAATTTGTCACGATTATAATTATTTAATAAGTTGTGATTCCAACCCTAAGTCCCTAGGGCTGGGTTATGACAAATGTGGTATCAAAGCAATGGTTCATTTAAGCAAAACACAAATAACAATCATTAAAGCATAGGACACACGCACAATTAGAAAGTAGGATAGTAGGTGATTTATACCTAAATGTTATATTTTGCTAGTCCATTTATTTTGTATCATTCACGTACCCATCCGAGACAATTTCCAGTTTAGGATGCACCGCCAAAAAAAAAAAAACCTATTTAATTTGATCAGAAAGTTTGAAAAGTTATAAATAAAAATATAAATAAAACTATATAGTTAGATACATATAATAAATTAAAATGTCTACATAAAAATAAATAATAAATATTTACCTATGACGTTAGTCATTTTATGTAAAAACTTACGTTTATTCTGGTGCTGTAGGAATGTCCGAGATTAACCTTGATGAGGCATTTTGGGAGAAGTTCAAGGCCATTAATTTGAATGATATTTTAGCAGAGCACCCAGCCTCCGCCTCACCTGAAGGATGGGGAGACTCAGAGGATATAATTAGGAGACTGCATCCAGGCCTTGCCCAATTGATGGGTCGGCCAATATATGTACAGACCGATCCTACTGACGTACCATACTTATTGTGGAGTCAGAGCTGTGCCTACACGTGTAAACGCTTTCTTGGACCCACTTGTGTCCTTGGTCTTGCCCCAGGATATGACCGTCCGCATTACATCATTGGCCCTTTGCCTCCAGATTTTGTGGCGAGAAGGGGAATTGTGTACCCCAAGGACTACATTTTTACCACTATCCTTAACCCGTTGGAAATTATTCATATTCAAAATGTTAATTTTAGTAATGACCTATCATACATTGAGCAACCGAGATGGATTGTCGATCGAGCGTTTTGGGGCTACATACAGTTCGTCCGCGTGTACACAGTTCAGGCCGCATGGGTTTGTTTTGAGGTGGTACAGTTAGGATGAGAATTTGAGCTTTTTATGCAATACTACTTTCCATGGTTGTTTGACCCACCACTCTAGATTTGGTAGAAAAAAACTTTTTTGTAAGCTAACCATGATCGGTTCTAATCCCTCTGTAGCTCGGCTTTTCGTGCTCCTTTCGGATACGAATAGCCTTACAGTTCGGACTCTCGTGGCTCTGAATCTGATCTCACAAGTGCAATGTGAAATAGATAAACATCAAAGAGTCCAAATCCGACAAATCTTTTGGAAAATCGATTTTGAATCAAAAATGTCAAAAATAGATTGTTTTGGCAAATACAGAGTCGTCACCTAAATATTTTTGAGAAATTTAGGAAACCCATGACTCATGCCAAAGGCCACGTGTCCGTCATCACCAAGATTGTCTCAGCTCGGAAACTTAGGTACGAGAAGGGAAGGTCATGAATTGAGCACCCCACTCGCCCGATCAAAGATCGGCCTCTACTAATCATGATGTGAATCTTATTTACATTATATACTCTTGTTCCAATTTATTAGGCTAACTTACTATGTGATGCGCACAAAAGTATAGACTAACTTGCAAAAATTGGAACAATTGATTTCATGTTTTTTTTTAAAAGAGTTTGAATATGTACCACTCGAAAAAGTGATCGCATATGTACATTATTCAAATTATTCCAATTCAAGCAATTAGCCTTCATCCACAACATTCAAGCAATTTATCAATTAAGCACTTAGCCTCATGGCAAACATGCTAGACATGGCAACAATCACACTTATACAATATGCTAAAGCACAAACATGCTCACCTAGTACTCCGAGCCGAGCCAAAAAACAAAAGAGTTAGAAAACATACATGCTCCTAACTAATGCAACACATGCGATATGCAACTAATAGGCTCGGCTAATAATTATGACATGTGAATTAATTTGATAGCATGCGTTTTAAACACATATTCAAAGAAGTATTTAAATGACAATGCTTTGTTAGAATGATGAACTAAGACTCGATGCATGCAAGACAAGTGGATGCAAATATGGAGTATGCTAAAAGAAACATGATGCTCTAAACTACCCATTATAAGCAAGTAAATAAAAGGGAGAAAGACACGGGGTTGGAAGACATACACATTATTACAAGTTGCCCTCACGCAGGAGGGTTTGAATGAATAACCTAGCTAATTACTGAGAATTAACTAACTGTTACCAATCGAATAAACTAACTATGCTAGCTAGTTATTACAAAACCAATTAATTAATTAACTATTCTATGAACTAACTAATTAATTACACTAATTATTTAATTATAATTTAGAATTAACTAATTAATTACAACATGAATACAACATGAAATAAGTAACTAAGCTAACTAATTCGCCCCGGGAAGCGAGGAATGCTCATGCATGCGCCGACTTCCACCCGAAAAGCCCACTGTTCTACTGCCAGAATGCTTCTGTTGCACAGTAGAACCTCTTTCACCTCAGCCACTACTCTATTCTGTTCCAAAAAGTTGTTACTCAATTTGAAAAAAGTGGTTGGCAGGCCAGAAGTAGTGGTCGGCCGGCCACAAATGGTAGCCTGCCATCCAGAAGAAGTGGCCTACCGGCCACTAAAGCCTGGTCCTCCTGCTGCAATAGAAATCATACAGAGCACAAGCAGGGTATTCTCAAGGTATGTTTGTACACCTTATCCCTCCTCATCATCAAACAGTTCAAAGAAGTGGCAAGCTCAATTCACAAGCCATCAATCGATGCAATTTCATTGCATGATGGCCTATAAACCAAGGTGTACAATTTCAATAAATGCACAATAAATGGCTCTCAAACCTCCTCTATATCACGGATTAATCAAGGGAAGTGGTTGACCTTGGAAACTTGAACCATTTCATCACTAGCAAGTATGAAATGCCTCAAGTTTCCATGTGTTCAATTAACGTCTGATTGAACACCAAATTGCTTATTATCTTGCATCACTTTTAGTCCCAATTTTATTACTTCATTTTAATTACTAACCATTCTTTAACCAATTGAGTCCAAAAGTGATCTTTAAGTCCTCTATTGGAAAGAAATACCAAACCAAGTGTTGTTTTATGCGTGAGAGAAGTGTCATGTCGTTGGTAATGAACCCCCAAAAGGATTAAACCTTTAAGCACAATACCGCAATCTCATGCTTAAACAAACACTTGGTTTGAAACATCTTTCAAAGCAAAGAAAAATCCAAGAAATGAGGGAGGTTGCAGAAATGATTAGAGGTGATCACAAGCATGGAAAGCAAGAAATAAGCACTATCAACTCAAATAGGTTGGTGGCTAAGGCCTAAACCACCAAACCTATGAGGACAATTACACTACAAGTATGCAATACAAGGCTCAAATGCAATGAACCACTAAAAACAGTCCTAAAATAGTTCTAAAATAGTCCTAAAACATGCTAGAATTAAGACAAAAAAAGCTAGAACAATAAGCTAAAACACGGAGCATGTTAAACTAGTAAGCAAGTACAAGGAGAGGAGGCTACCCCCTTCATTTTTGGGACTTCAAAACATGTTTTCTAACCACTGAAAAAGCTCTGAGATTTAGTTCTAAAAAGCTCAAAAAAAAGGCTGACAACAAGGTAGGAAACACAAGGGTAGAGGCCTTGGAAGCTAGATAGAAGGAATGGTGAGCCACCCCTCCACCTTTATTGGCCTTAAACTACAAATTTCAGGCCAAAATTTTAGAGTTTAGACAGCCTAAAAACAGTAAGCAAAATAGCAATTAAAGCAAAATAACAAGCAAAGATTTATACCTCTTGAAGAGAAGAACACTTTCCAAGCAACAAATCAACACTTACACACCCTCAAGAGTTCAAAGTAGGCTCAAAAGTACCTCAGCTTAAAGATCACAAGGTTTGGTTTAGAGTGTATAGGCAAAGGCTTAAGAAATTTGCAAGAGAAAGAGAGAATTGTAGAAAGAGAGAAAATATTTTGCTCTAAAATTTTCCAATCTTCAAAAATGAAAGGGGAGGTCTTCTATATATAGAAAACAATGAAACTCCCTCAGAAATATTAATATATACATGTGTAGGCAAGTGCATGCATCTGTGCAAATAGTTGGCACAACTGACCAAAATATCTACCAAAACGCATAAGTGGCCTGCAAGCCACTAATGCTGGCCGGCAGGCCACACAAATGGCCGACAGCATATATTGGTGGCCGGCAGCTCACAGTGGTGGTCGGCAGGTCCCAAGGTTTTTTAGGCTTGCAAAACTATGGTTTTGGTCCAAAACAAAGCAAAAGGTGTGTAGGGTTTGAAGGCTCAAAGCTGTGGCATTCTGCTGAGGATTTCGAACACTTGACAAGTATATACAAATTCATCATTGGGGGCGCAAACGGTGGCGCCCAAGTCTTAAGGGCAGTAAAAAATAGGGTGTCTACACCCTCTTTTGTTTTTGTATCACATGGATAAGACACTAACACAATTTTTGAGTTTTGGAACAAAGATGTAATATTATATTTGCAAAAAAAATAGTAAAGTTGGTATTTTAGATATGCAATATATATGTTGTGTTATGAATGTAATGGCTCGTTTATTACCGTGTAGAATGGCTAATAATGGTAATGGAAGCGAGTCATCAATTAGTGGCGCTGAATCGATGGAAGAATAATGGAAAGGGCGGTTACTAGCTTTTTGCAAGCCTTGCAGACCAACATCAACAATGGGATGCCAGAATGGCGAGAAGAGCTAGTTATCATAAAACAGTTCCAGGATTTGAAACCCACCACATTTATTGGCAGTCCAGACCCAATGGTAGCGGACGCTTGGGTTAAAGACATGGAAAAGATTTTTCACGCTTTACCCTGCACCGAAAGAGAGAAAGTAACTTTCGCCACTTTTACTTTCAAAGACAATGCACAGGAATGGTGGCTTCTCACCCTAGAGAAAGAAGAAATTGTGACTTGGGCAAAATTCTTAGAAATATTTTATGCAAAATACTTTCCAGATTTGTTGTGGGAACAAAAGGCATCAAAATTCATACATCTAAAGCAAGAAACCATGACGGTAACCGAATACGAGAGCAAATTCACACAATTCGCTCAATTTGCGACCTATGTCATCCCCACCAAAGCTCGAAAAGTAAGGAAATTTGAAGCAGGATTGGATGCTGAAATCAAAGATAGCCTTGAGATTTTGAAACTACCAACCTATACAGAAGTGGTAGACCGAGCATACATTACAGAAAAAGAAATTAAAGCCTCCCGTTCCTTGGAGCCAAGCCAAAAGAAGCGATTTTGGAAAAGAGACAACAGAAGATCCAGTGTTGCGCCTCCCAAGAGGGTGAATACTAGCACAACCAGCTCAGGTAATCCAGGTTCTACTAACCCTAGAGATGGCACCATTCCAACTTGCCCTACTTGTGGAAGGACTCATTGGGGATAATGCCATCGAGATACGGGGGCATGCTTTAAATACGGTCAAGTTGGCCACTTGCTGAGGGATTGTCCAAAGCTTATTAATCCTACAGCCAGCCCCTCTGGCCCAACCCAAAAACCCACAGAACCTGAAGGAGAGAGAAAGGACCAAAAAGGCCAAGGAAAGGCTTTTACCTTAGTACCTGGAAAACCAGAAATTACCGAAAACATTGTGTCAGGTATACTTTCTGTCTATGGTCATTTAGCTTATGTCCTCATTAACTTTCGGTCAACTCATTCTTTTGTTGCACCACACTTTGTTGCTAAGTTGGCATCAACACCCAAACCCTTAGGATATATATTATATGTGTCTTTTCCTTCTGGTAATTCTGCGTGTAATACTGATGTGTACTGATCATGTACTATATCCTTAAAAGGCAAAACCTTATACGTAGACTTGATTCCCCTTCATATTGAGAACTTTGATGTGATCTTAGGGATGGATTAGTTGGCTGCCAACCACGCCTCTATTGATTGGAAAGCTAAAAAGGTCTCCTTCAGGTTACCAAACCAACCCGAGCTTGTCTTTGATGGGACTGGAGTTTCCAACCCTTCCTGTATTATATCCTCCATGACAGCCCAACGACTTCTAAGAAAGGGTTGTTATAATTATATTTGTTATGTGATCGATACGCAAAAAGAGTTCCCCACCATTGATGCAATCCCCGTGGTTCGAGAATTCCTGAATGTCTTTCCTTAAGATCTACCCGGTGCCCCAGTTGATCGGGAAATCGAATTCACCATTGAAACTCAACCTGGTATCCAACCAGTATCAAAAGCTCCTTACCGTATGTCAATGACGGAATCGAAAGAATTGAAGACTCAACTCCAAGAACTCCTGGACAAAGGTTTCATTCGACCTAATACCCCACCCTAGGGAGCTCCAATACTATTTGTAAAGAAAAACGATGGCACAATGAGGTTATGCATCAATTATCGGGAGTTGAACAAGGTCACTATCAAGAATCGGTACCCTCTGCCATGAATCGATAACTTGTTCGATCAACTTCAAGGCGCCGAAGTATTATAAAAAATCAACTTGCGTTCTGGCTACCATTAGCTAAAAGTCAAAATGGAAAGCATCGAAAAGACTGCCTTCAGAATCCGTTACGGGCACTACAAGTTTCGCGTCATGCCATTTGGCATTGCAAATGCTCTAGAAGCCTTCATGGATCTCATGAACCAAGTGTTTAAACCCTATCTTGACGAGTTCGTTATTGTCTTCGTTGATGACATTCTCATATACTCTAAATCACCAAAAGACCACGAGAAGCACTAGCAAATGGTTTTACAAACACTACGTGATCACAAACTTTATGCAAGTTGAAAAAATGCGAATTCTGGATCACTAGCATACACTTCCTCGGTCATGTCATTAACAAGGATAACATCTTGGTTGACCCCTAAAAAGTTGCAGCAATTGTGGACTGGCCACGACCTACTAATGTGTTAGAAATTCTAAGTTTCTTGGGTCTAGCTAGCTATTATCGACGCTTCGTGCAAGATTTCTCGAAGATAGCGTTATCCTTGACCCAGCTGACTCAAAAGAACACACCCTTTGAATGGACTGACAAACAGGAGCATTGCTTCCAAAAGTTAAAAAGTAGACTTGTGTCGGCTCCTATACTAAACAGATGGGTTCGTCATTTATAGTGATGCCTCATATAATGGTTTGGGTTGTGTTCTTATGAAAAATGGAAAAGTCATTGCTTATGCCTCGCGACAACTAAAGACTCACGAGAGAAACTACCCAACCCATGATCTAGAATTGGTTGCAGTGATCTTCGCCCTCAAGATCTGGCGCCATTATCTCTACAGTGCAACATGCGAGATTTACATTGATCACAAGAGTCATAAATATCTATTTACACAGAAGGAACTAAATATGAGGCAACGATGGTGGCTAGAATTTATGAAAAACTATGATGTAGAGATCCATCACCATCCAGGCAAAGCTAACGTGGTGGCAGACGCACTGAGCTGAAAGACGACTAGAAGTTTGGCGTGCACTCTCATTTCCTGCCCGATCAATGGGTTGCTCACCAATATAACCATGGAACCCACTTTGATTGAAGAAATTAAAGCATGCCAATGTGAAGATAAACTTTTAAAGAAAAAGTACGAGAAGTGAAGGAGTACGCCTGATCCTGATTTCACTATAAGCAATAGGATACTAAAATTTCGAAATCAAATTTGCGTACCCTACATTCCGAAACTCAAGAAGAAGATATTGGTGGAAGCTCATAGCTCAAGATTTGCAGTCCACCATGGCAACACAAAGATGTACCAGGATCTGAAGGAACACTACTGGTGGACAGGAATAAAAAGAGACATAGCAAGCCAAGTCTGCAAATGTCTGCATTGTCAGCATGTTAAAGCAGAACATCAGAGACCTGCAGGAATGTTACAATCACTCCATATTCCTGAATGGAAATAGGAGCACACTACCATGGATTTCATGGTTAGGCTGCCTGTAAACGCGCCCTTGGGCCTCATGCTACTACAGTTCGGACTCAAATGTCACGGCTCTGAATCTAATCCCGCAAAGTGCAATGCGAGACCGATAAATCACCAAAGAGTTCAAATCCGGCAAATCGTTTTAAACTGATTTTTAAGAAAGAAGTGCCAAACATGGACTGTTTTGCCAGATACAGAGTCGCCACCTAAATATTTGTTTTGGGGGAATTTAGGAAACCCTGACTCGTTGCCTAAGGCCACGTGCCCGTCATCACCAAAGTTGTCTCAGCTCGGGAACTTGGGTACGACTGGGGAAGGTCATCTATGAGCACCCTCGCTCGCCCGATCCGAAGATCGGCCTGTACTAAGAATGATATCTTATTTTTGAAAACACATGTGCTCTTATTCCGATTAATTAGCTAGAATTTACTATGTGATGCGCACAATACACAAGTATAGACCAGATCGCCTAATTTGGAACAAAGCATCGCATATCCGTTTGTTTTGAATGGTTTGAAGTTTGCTACTAGCAAGTAGGCTAAAACACGGATTTCAATGAATCGTCCCAATACAAGCAATCCAACCTTCACCCACAGGCATTCAGGCAGTTATATCACATAAGCAATTAGCCTCATGGCAAGCATGCTGTCATGTTTAACACTCACACACATGCAAGATGCTAAAGCATAAACACTCATAGTGTACTCCGAGCCAAAACAAGAAACTAGTTAGAAATCATGCATGATCCTAGTTCATGTTAAAATGGCTAATGCATCGCATGCGAAGTGCAACTAGAAATAGGCTCGGCTATTCTAAAATGGCATATGAGATACGACAATTGATACATGTATTCAAATTGAAATTGAAATACAATGCAGTTAGTATGATGCACCGAGCCTGGTGCATGCAATACAAATGGATGGATGCAAACATGCATAGCATAAGAATGCTAATTGAAATATGCCCTAAAACTAACCATTGAAAGTAGGTAAGTAAAAGGGAGAAAGAAGTGGAGGTTGGAAGACATGCATCGCACACACGCACGCTTATTACAAAATTGGCCCTCTCGACGGAGGGTCCGAAAGAATAATACAAATCAACTAATTAACAAGCTAATTAATTATTACACAACTCTTAACTAATTAAACAAATTAATTAAGCTATGAAAACAGTAAAGCAGCCTCAGGAAGAGGGATAAATGCATGCTCGATCGGCTTCGCTCGGAAATTCGTTGCCATGCTTCATGTTGCCTCTGTTTGCACTGCTCTGTACCTCTGAAAACGGTTCCAACTTCTGTGACACTTCTGAACCACCTTGGGGACATGCTGAGAATCCATCGGCCAAGAGATAGGGCCATCGGCCAAGGGATAGTGGTCATCGACCATATGTAAGGCTCTCGGCCAGATGTTTGTAGTTGACCGGCACTGAAGATGGCCGACCGGCCATATCTTCCTGCAGAATGCTGTTTTGCTGCAGCAGAGGACAAACAGAGCATGGCAATGCATTTTCAAGACAATGTATGCACAACCATCCTCCCTATCATGTCATGAACTCAAGGGAGTATGGTTCTCGACCCTCGGACCACCAATCACGCATTTTAATGCATGATGGCCAAAGGAGCCAAGTGTGCAATTTCTATCAAATGAAATGCACACAACATATAAGGGGCCCCAACCTCTATTATGCTTGATCAAGAGGCAAGGGATGCATGCTTAATGCTATGCAACCTAAGCATGCAAGCAAGCATACAAGCAACTCAAGCATGATGCAAATCCAATGCAACATAAGCATGTTAATGATGATGCCATACAGGACTAATGGTGACAAGCATGCCAAATGTAATGTAACCTAAAAAAGTATGCAAGATGCAACATGAACATTCAAGCATGCAAGGCATGCAAAGGTGTACAAGTATGCAACAACATACAAAATGCGACAAGCATATGACAACATGATAAAGGGATAAGAATGCAACATACTAGCATGCAACAACATGCAAGGTACTAAATATGCAACAAGCATGCAACAACATGCAAAGGATGGACTTAAACCAAAATGGACAACTCTCAAATAGGCCCAAATCAGTGGCCAAAATGCTAAGGAATGAGGGACAAAAGCATATACAAACATGCATGCTAATTGGCCTATCACCTAGGCATGAAGACACAACTCTTAAGCACACTTAAAAGAGTGAAAAGCATGCAAGTGTGACAACACTACATGCTCTAAAATGAAGTTAGAAATGATGCCAAATCACACATATAATCATAATCATAGCATGCATAAGGCTTAAAGTCTAAGACTAGGAAAGGGACTTGAACCAAAGCTATATAAAACAAAGAGCATATGGCAAGTATAACCCAAAACAGTCCTAAATCATGTCAAGATGAGCCTAAAACATGCAATGGCCAAGGTCAAAACATGCTAGAAAGGTGGGTTCAAAACATGGAGCATGCAAGGCTACAAAAGGGGTGTTACACTGCACCTATCAAAACCAAACATGGTATAATT